GAGACATCTTACTCTAAGCGGTTAAGCTTAAAAACGTGAGCACGAGGCTCTGATACCAATTGAAAGGATCAAGATGCCCAAGAGGGGGGGTGAATTGGGCTAATTCTAAATTTCTTCGCAATAAACAAGTCATATGGTTAGCCCAATTAACCCCTTATGCCTAGAGAAGTGTTCCTATTGATCTAACGCACAAAAGTTTAGCAACCTAGTTCCAATCCTACTCTAACATGACAATTCTAGGAATGTAAATGACAAGAATTGAAATGCTCAAAGTAAAGAGAGGAGAGGAAACGCGGCGATGTTTTGCCGAGGTATCGGAGAGTCGCCACTCCCCACTAGTCCTTGTTGGAGCACCCGCGCAAGGGTGTAGCTCCCCTTGATCCGCGTAAGGATCAAGTGCTCTCTACGGATTGATTCTTCGACACTCCATCGCGGTGAATCACCCACAACCGCTCACAACTTGTGTTGGGTCATCCACAAGCTCTCCGGATGATCACCAAGCTCTCCAATCACCACCAAGCCGTCTAGGTGATGGCGATCACCAAGAGTAACAAGCACGAACTCTCACTTGACCACGACAAGCCTAGGGAGAAGGGTGGATGCACACTTTGCTACTCTTGATCTCACTAATGAGGGCTCTCTTTGGGATTCTCAAATCTCAATCACCTCACTAGGACCGTGCTCTTCTTGGCACTCTCTAAGGTGTGTTTGAGCTATTGAAATGAGCAAAAGTCACTCCACACACGAGTGGAGCTTCTATTTATAAGACAGCCTGAAAAACGAACTGTTATAAGCCTCTACGGGGTGACCGGATGCTCCGGTCATGATGACCGGACGCTCCGGTCAGTTCAACCCGCACACCAGTGTTTAAGTGTTGACCGGACGCTGGCAGGGTCCGGTCACCACTGACCGGACGCGTCCGGTCCCATTTTTCCCTCACTGGATGCTTACTGTACTCGACCGGACGCTGGATCCTCAGGGTCCGGTCAGAATTGACCGAACGCGTCCGGTCGCAGATTCACTCTTCTAGAACCTTACTGGAGTCGACCGGACGCTGGTCCCCAGCGTCCGGTCGCACCAAACGCAATCTCCTTGGTCAAATGAACTGATCGGACCCTGCGGCCAGCGTCCGGTCGCACCGGAGCCAGCGTCCGGTCAGTATTTGACCATCCATTCACTTCCAACTTTTGATCATACATGAATGAAGTTTGCTCCAAAGGATCTAAGGGCTTTGTTGGAGCTACCTAGTGCTAGACTTAGCAATTGTGCACCACACCTAACTCACTAGACTCACCTAGTTCAAGCTACCCGTCCATACCCCCCTTAATAGTACGGCCAAAGGAAAAACAAAGTCCTAAACTACTTTAAGTGTCTCTCTAACTCCAATCAACACTTAGAACTAGTCATCCTTAACCTTGTCTTCCATCCTTTGAAAATCGAAACGATTTTCATCGTAGGGGCATGACATCCATGATTGCCCAATCGACTCCATTACCATGACCTAACTTAATTGCCTCTGCAAAACACATGTTAGTCATAGTAATCTTGTATTGTCATTAATCACCGAAACCCAACAAGGGGCCTAGATGCTTTCACCTACTTACACAAATGAAGAAAAAAAGATAGTGGAAACAATTACTTATATTAAAACGACTGCATGTGTAGAAGCAACGCACCGCTGTGTCTAGATGTCTCGATTGAAACACGTCGGCCGGGAAACCACAGTCACAGTTAGGGACAGGGAGGTCAGAAGGGACTGGGGCATCTTTGCTAGACGCATCGGGGTATAATTCTCGAGGACGACCCCGTTTTCGCCAAAACTTCTCCCGATACATTTCTTGCATCTAACAAAACGGTTGTAATTTAATAAACAAAAATCAAAACATCACAAATTAATGTCAATGAGAACCATTTGCATTACAACAAATAAAATATAACCTACACTTTGGTGCAAACTCTATCTTAAATGCAAACATGAAAACTATATAAAAACTATAGTTTGGTCAGTAAAAAATAAAATTTGGTACATCAATAGTGTGTCCATATATTTATTCACATATAAAAGTTGAGATGTAAACTTAAACAAGTAAAATACATGGTAATCATAATTCTAACTAACCAATTAACCTTAACATTGGCAATCCTAATCCTAATCCTTCGATCCAACGTTCTAACGTACTCATATTTTCCTCCATACCCTAACTACTCATTCAAATCCTTTGATTCACCGTGGAGGCCGAGGAGGAGCTTCATTACCTTGACAAGGGCGAGGAGGAGCTTCGGGGAAGGTAGGGAGGGGAGCGGCAAAGGAGGGAAATTCGGCGGTCGGCCGTGGGGGAGCCGGGAGGCAATAGCGCGGCGGTGCGGGTTGGGAGGCACGGTGGCGGGGGCTGGGCGGCACGGAGGCGGGGGCTGTGCGGCGCGGAGTGAAATAGAGAGAGAGGAAAGGGATTGGGCCGCGGGCCTCTATTTGGCTCTGCCGCGCCCTGACGGGTGGTGCGTCACAGCCGCGCCCTGGTCGGTGGCGCGGCAAGGCTTGCCACGTCAGCGACCAGCGGGGCAGGACGTTGTTAAGTACGCACCCCTGCCGCACTGTCATGCATGGCGCGGCAGAGTTGTTTCGCCGCGCCATGTAAACAGACGCGTCCAAAAGTGTTAATTTGGAAGAAAAAAAAACAGTGCCAGTTTTAAAAATAATTTAAAAAAGCGTTAAAAATAAAAAAAAATCCTTGCTGAGATTTCTTGGGCAAGATCACTCGGTCAGAACTAGTAGTCCGAAGTTAAGCAAGAGGGAGGGGTGCGCCTGGGATTTCTTTTTCTTTTTTCCCATGAGACCTGTGCTACGTGGTATCGGGGTGTTGGACGCGTAGACTCCCTGATTGCTAACTGCCATACTGCCATGAGACTCAATAAATCAATAGTCAAAGCCACCCGCGATATGACTGACCACGTGGCATAAAAACGGTGCCATAAAACAATGCGTTTTTAAAAGTGCTTTCAATCATGCAAACTCTTCTTATTTTTATTTTAAAAACGGAAATGTTGTGGTGAGACGTCCGACGGTCCGGACACCCTACTTCATGAGCCTGTGCGCTACTCTCCTCTACCTCCCTTCAGGGCTTCTCCAAAAAAAAAAATACAATGACATTTTCCAACTCACACAAGTGTCGCGGTGTTCCCCACCGCTCGCCAGCTGCTCACCTTCTCCAGCGTGATTGTCGCTCGCCGTGGCCTTCTCCAGTGCAGGGGCGCCTGCTGCGACCTTCTCTGGCATGGGGGCGCCTCGCCGTGCAAGGCCACACTTCCCCGACCGCCGCTGCCGTCTCCAATGCGGGTATCGCTTGTCGGGGCACCACCGCTCACCGAGGGGCCGCATCATCGCTCAATGGGGACCGTGCAGCCGTGTGCCCACTGCAATCCTCCTTCTCTACCGTGGTCTAGCGCCGGATCTCGCTGTGCAGTGCTCCGTTTGCCCGCTTGCTAGGTTTTTGTTGAAAAGCGCATGTTGCAAGAGTATGTTTAAAGTGTTTTAAATATTTTAGAGGTATGTTGCAAGTGTTGTATATTGATATTGTAAAAGTATATCGGGATGTTGCATTGTTGCAATGGCTATATACGTATGTTTCAAGTGTATGTTCCAAATATTTCATCTGTAAGTTTTTTATTTGGTTGTTGCAAAAGTAGATCTGGATGTTGCATATACATGCATGTTGTAAGCATATGTTTCAAGTGTTTCATACTTGTTGCAAGTGTTTCATTTGGATATTGCATATGTTTGTAATGGTTTTCAAGTGTTTTTAGGCGTTTTTGTAAGTTTTTAGGCGTTTTTGTAAGTGTTTCAGACGCTTATTTCAAGTGTTTCATCTATCTTATTTTATATGTTGCAACTGTTGCATCTAGATATTTAAAAGTAAATTGGATGTTGTATATAGATATGCTTGGAAAGCGGCAGGCGGTGCGACGACGTTCGGGATGGCATGGGCGACGTCCTAGGAGGCATGGGCGACGTCTGGGATGCGGGCCCGCTGCTGGAGCGCTAGCTCGCTGCGCGGACACCATCCGGACCATAGGGCTCCGGATCGAACTCCAGGCGCTAGCAAGTCAGTTTTTAAATAATACTCCATCAATAGTATATAATAATAATAAGGTGATTAATTTTCCTTCTAAATATATTTGTTTTCCGGGAACTCGCGTAACCGAACACATCAACGTATCCGTCAACGTCGGCCAACACGACGAAACTGGTTTCGTCCAGCCTAGTCCGTAATTCACAACGCACCCCGCTTTTCGGTCCACTATCTCTTTACTAAGGACGGCCTTGCTTAAAACTGGTAACCGTCCCCGGTCCACATTAGCCACGGGAAAATGGAACTGCCGGCGCCCGGCGGCCGCCGCCGCCGAAGCAGGAAGTCGCCTTGGCCCTTGGGTGGTGCGGTGGTGCCATGTAACCAGCTGACGGGTAGTTGGGGGCGGTGAGGCCACGGTGCAGTCTTACTGTCTATCGGGCGGAGGGGGCCTCTGCAGCATGCGACGGCAGGAAGGCAGATGTGGCTGGAGGCGATGAGGATTGCTCCTGCTCTGCTCGTCGGCGCCCATGGGAAGTTAGGGGAGCACAAGCTCGCGGGCGCATTTGCACGCACTCATGCTAGATTCCTGTTTCCGTAAGGGTACATGCCTAGTTGTATTGTTCTTATGCTTGCATCTCTGATGGTATAGTGGGGTAGTTAATCCTATACAAACAAGTGAATGAATAACCATTTTACTAGTTTATTTGCTCTTGCGGGGCTTGGATTACAGTTATTCCTGGTTGATGTACATTTGACACCTGACTAGTTTCCGCAGGCAATAATCTTACTGTTGGGTTGCTGGTTCATTTGACTGAAATGCAGGGACGCACTAGCTTACATATGCATTTAGTTGACTGTTGGAAATGCTCATCAGCTGGTGTACTGAGTACTGACTGAAATGAGGGGACGCACATGTGCTCATGCGTGTACATGTCAAATGGTAAATTCTAGAGAATGGAGGTGTGAAAATTCTGGATTAGGCTGACTTGTCATTGCACAAACACTGCTGCTTGGTGTTTCGCAAGATGCAAAGCCCGGACTCGATGGGAATCCAGAACCAGGACTAGTGATTTCTATGGATATTTCTATCTCTTGTTGGCATGCATCATCTTCTAGATCATTTGGCACTGTCACCTGCATGCTCTGGGCCTGGTTGCAATCTAGTTCTCTTTCTTCATTCTGTCTGTTTGCATGCGCTGATCCATATCTTCCCTGAGTCTGGACTCGACTTATACTGTTCCTTATCTTGTGTTTATTCTTGTAGAGGAACATCACCAGGGCTATAAAAAGGGCAGAAGTTGAAGCAACACCTGTGACCAGAAAGAGTCCAGAAAAGCTTCTGAAATTTAGACTGCTGGGGCTGGCGATGGCACCATCATTTTGACAGATATGTTGATCTCCGATCCATTTCTTTTCTATCTGAATGATGGCATCTCCTTCTGTTATGCTGAGGATCCTCCTGGAGAAGTCATTGACCATAGGGGATCTCTTGGGGAATACCTAGTTAACAATTAAAATAATTTCAGTGATATACACATTGGTTAAGTAATGCATTAATTCTTCCAAAAATTAAAAAGGCTAGCATTCTAAGATCCTTAATAATCATCCAAGAAAGGTTAAGGTAAATGAATTGCACTGTTGTTTCCAGCTTTTGCAAATTCATTTTTGTGGTTAGATTCGTCATTAATAATTCCAGATTCAAATTTGAGTGATTTATAATAAACAGAAATCTGTGAATGGTATATTCTATCTTTCCTTTTAAAATATATGAATGGATGTTGCTTCTCCTTGTCCTAGTCTATTAGGATTAGGGGTGAAAGCAGGTGTGAGAATTCTGATACTGTCCAAATACCATTTTCTGCATTATTCCGATTTTGTAAAGACATTAAAGTTGTCACTTTAAACCAATTTCACTTGCAACTGGCACTTAACTGTTCATTGCACAAACATGGGGAAAATCTTGACTGTGGCTGTTTCTGTTTTCTGTTTTGCAATATTATTTCCAATTGTTTTCATCCCTATTCGGATCAGATTTACTTTTAATCGAAGTTCTCTTGAACAATTTTCATTTAATTATTTTTTCTCAATGTGCAGGAGAGTTGCATACCATTTCACTAAAGAGAGAGAAACATTACAAATCCAAGGTCCCCAACCCCAACCCACCCAAAATACCTTTGCACAATTTCCATTACGTTTGCACAATTTTTGTTTTTGTTTGTAACTCTTGGCTAACTTCTTGTTAGTCCTTGAACCCCTTCTTGGGTTCTTCCGTTTTTAATATAAATGCCGCCGGGGGGTTGATACCCCACGGTTCCTGCTCAAAAAAAGTTAGAGTTTGCATGCCACTATTCAGTTTGCAATAGCAAGAAAGATAATAGCAAATAGCTGCCAGTCATCAGTGCATTAACTCACAATATTTTCCAATGGTGTCTGTTACCATAATTTTCTTATAATAACAAAAAGTTTCTTACAAGTGATTGTATGACTTACAGTATTCGTATAGTGCCTTTTGTGATAACTGGTCGTGCAGAAGATCTTCCATGCTGGCCTTGTTTGAGTAGACCTGTTTGTTATTATCTTGGGTCTTAGGCTCTTAGAAAGTGCATTAGTTTATATCCTTATTTCCAAATGTTCTTTCTGTTTTAATAAGTATTTTTTTCAGGAGTTAACATTTCTTTCTTGATCCCGAGAAGCTCGAAACTATACATTTTCCTATAGCATACGGATAAACATATCTGGTGTAGTTAATTTACACAAGCCAAAGCCTTCGGATTTGTAAATTGGTCCAACCATTGTGTAACCTTTGCAATGCTTTGCAAGAAATATCTTGATGTATGGAACTTCACGTATGACAGCAGCAATACCACCATTTTTGCTCCCTTTAGAGAGTGCATCAGCAAAATCTTCTGAAGTTTTGTATGCCCTGATCTTTCTTCTGTCAAAGCCAAGTTCTTCTAATAGACCCCCCACATAAGAACCATTATGATACCCTACATATTCACCTTTTCTAATGAGTTCATGAACATCAGTTACTGTAGGTTGAAGCTGTTGCACAGTGAGAACTGATGATAGATTGGCTGTATAACTTGACGTAATCACGAGAAGTACAAGGACCCATACAATGACAACCAATCTAGATAAAATACTGTCCACCCTCTCCCCTGCAAAATGATGGGAAACTGCCAAATAAGAAACTTCAAATTAAATATGAATGGTTCTTATTATGAAAATACCCTTCTTGTACTTTCTAAATAATGTGTTTTCAAACATTTGTGAAAAATGAATTATGCGATAATATAGGAAGATATTTTACTTATTTTCCCCTTCCTGCTCATCCTAACATTAGTAAATATAAAAGTCAGACTTATGTCTCTTTTCCACACAATGCAGTATGTCAAGCGGAAAGAAGAAATTCAGATATCAAATATCATCACTCACTATCTGCAAAAATGGAGAAATATATTGCTATCCCAAGCTAGCGAAAAAATGAACCAGTCAGTTCAGCATTATTGATTCGTCACTCCAATAACCAGATGACAATCCCTGTGTAAATGAAGAATGCGATGCTTCCAAGCCACAAATCAGTAGTTAATGGCTTTAAGAAAACCCATGCGTTCTTATTTGTGCCATCCTTCACTGGCACAATCATTGCTACTCCAGACTCGGTGTAAGGTAGGGTAAAGTCAACATGGGAAGTTCTATTGTACCTGATGGTTATATCTCCGATTGCCGCATCATATACCTGCAAACATGACCTTTGGTGTTATATAAATACAATGATGTTAGTTTTACTTGAATTACTGAATGATCAATATGTAACTCCTTGATCTCTGCGCACTGACAATTATTAGGGTTTATGGACAACAAAAACAGATAATGTCAACAGTTACAACTTACATTGTATCATTCTTTTACAAATTGAAAAGGAATCATATTGCTGTTATGCATTGAGTAAATATCCAGTGAGTTATGCCTTAACTAGTGGATTCGTACAAATACTAATGCTGACTAAATATGGTTTTAGATCTGTGCTAATAAAACATTGAATTAATGCCTTAGTTTCCACTTTTCACACACCCTATTAATTGTCTACCTGCATATCTGATTCTAGCACCAATTCACTTGTGATTGTTAAATTCTTCAAAAAAAAATTGGAAAAAAAAATCCAGAGAGAACAACCAATATATGACCCTTGATCTTACTAACAAAATGGGAATAGCAATTTCTTACCCCAAGATGAACTTGGTAGACAAAATCATTATAGCTCGAACCTTCATTATCAAATGCTACATATTCATAAGGTATTGCATATGGTAGTCCCTTCAGCACCTCTTCAAATACATCAATGGCATATCCGGTAGCAGTTGTTGCATTGGTGATGGGATCCCTTTCTACCTTCATAAATTCAGGATATCCACTTGTTGTTACACCTACTCGGAGCTTCTTTCCATTAGTAGGAATCTGCCATCCTTTAGGCACAACATATATTTTTCCTGGCCAAATCACTGGATTAAAGTTCAGGCATAGAGTTTGCATTTGTTGTTTTTGATCCATTTAATTTGATCCAGTGTCCTGATGATTCCATGCTTTGCTGTCCAAAAGCCTATCTGTTGTGAACTTCTTCCAACGACATTAATTATCTGGAATGTGGGAGGTTGCAGCTGCCTGTTTTTAAGGTCAAAGTCGTCACTTAGGCCTCTGAACTGATTATGTAAGATTGCATCTATGAGTTTCGGACCAATAGTAGAGACACCCAGAGTTCCAAGACATGTTGAGGGCTTCTTGTCCTGCTGCTTCTGAAATATGGCATCGTCCATGTTAACCTTTTCTGTTGCTTGTGCCAATGCCCAAATAGTATCATAACCCCAGAGTCCAAAGGTGCCTAACTGAGCTGACGGATCATTTGGGTTGTCCTGTTTGAATCTCTTGTCCCATCTTGCAGTGAAGTCATCAAGTTTCTTTGATTTAGGCACATAAAATTTGACACCCAGTGCACCATTCATTGAATCAAGAATTGGAGGGTTGAGTGAGTTAACGATATTCGCAATCCCATCTGTTAAAATCCATGCATACATTTCACTCATCATTCCTAACTCCTTGGCCTTCGTGAAGAGAGTAGAGGCAATTGAGGATGACATGTGCACAATGTAGACCCTTGTTTGCATTGTCATTAGATTGTAGAGTTCTTTCTCAACTTGATCATTGCTTGCTGATCATAGTTTTTAAGGCGTCGCCTAGGCGACGACTAGTCGTCCGAGCGAGTTTTCAAACGCGGCGTCACTGTCGCCGCATCCTCCTGGTGTATGGCGTCGCCTCGCGGTCAAAGTCGTCGCCTAGTCGTCCTTCTCGCTGAGGCGGACGCCGTGGCACTGAAAGGCGCGGGGAAAGAGCGGCGCCGCACGCTCGAGCGGGCGGGAAAAGAGCGGTGCGATGCCCTCGCGCGGGAAAAGCAGCAGCGCCGCGCCTACACCTCCTGCCAAAGGTTCCCAATCCCCATCGCGTCTGAGAGAGCGAGAGAGGGAGAGGGAAAGGAAGGAGAGAGGAAGAGAGGAGAGGGTGGCGACGCACCTCAAATCCGGCGGCGGCGCAGGCGACTGCCCTGCGCAAGTCCGTCCCAGCCGCACGAGGCCACCCGTCCGCGCGACTCTGCTCCGCTGCTGAGGCCGCCCGTCCCAGCCGCACGAGGCCGCCCGTCCGAGCAAGTCCAACTCCGGCGCCGTCCGCTTCCACGACCGATTCTGGCCCCACGACTATGCTCTGCTCCGCGCGACTGGCAGGTATATCCTCCCCTCCTCTTTCCTCTACTGCTCGCTGCGGCTCTGCTCTTCCTCCCCCTTCTTCCTCTGCTCTTCCTCCCCCTCGTTCTCATGCTCTGCTCCTTCCTATACCCCTCTGTTGTACTTTGCTCTCTCTGTGTATGGCGTCGCCTCGCCGCGCGCCTAACTCGCCTAGGTGTCTGGAAGGGGGTGGAGCTCCGCACCTCGCCTTACCGCCTTAAAAACTATGTTGCTGATACAGGGATCACACTACGATAAGGTACAGAAGCCCCAAATTCTTGGAGGGAATCAATCAGGTAGGGTATGATAGCCCTGTTGTAAAACATACAGACTCTATCATAGAAGGAAAGGAAAAGGAGGAATCTTAATCCTAGTCCGTTTGTATGTGGGCTCTTACCAAACTCTTAGGCCTTGGCAGGACTATATATACGTAGGAGCTTTATGTTGTAATCACCAATACTCAAAGAATAAAGAATAGTCTCTCTATCTTGTATCTATGTGTTTTTCTACTTTCATCTACAATGTTGATCATGGGAGACGGAGAAGGAAAGGTCCTAACCGCTGGCCCTAAAACTAAGTTTTAATAGCCCAAAAGCTTGAAGTCTATGTTCTACCCTGAATATGTTGTTGTACATGAATAGTAAACTTGATATGTGAAGTTCATGTCAAAACCAATGAATAATATAGAAGTATTATTGGATTCTATGGAACATTAAAAATGATTATTCATAGATGATGCATGAAGCAAATTACTGGCACGAAAAGGGGGAGGAACTTGGGTAAAGGCATGAGAAAATATGGGTAATAAATATTTAATAGGCGTAGCCTTCCTAAATCTATCTTTAAGTGCATGTATAAGGACTTGAAATTCTCGTCGCGTCCTTCCGACCGAGTTAACTTTCTCTATATTGCACTAATTACAAGCAAGCTTGTGGTTTTGTATTTTGTTGTTATCTATTATGTTGGATTGAGTACCAACATTCCACACACTCAATTATGTATCACTATATTGTGCTCTCATCGAGCTACAACTATCTTCACTTCTACATGAATATTAGCATAGAAGCTATATTTGTAGCTAGTAGCTACCTTGCATTTCCCATAATTAGATTGGCTAGCTAATACGCTATGTCTGTAGTTCCTGTTGAACTAAGAAATATTTTGCTTTCAATGGATTGCATGTAAAAATAATAAATTGGTCTAGGCCAAGTAGCCTAAGATCAGGGGGAGTTATTTAAATTTAAATTGGTTAAATGGAGAAGCGACCCAATTGAATGGGATGGATTATAATGGAAATTGAGTTGATAGATAAAACACTTACAATGATTTGGGATTTACGAAGAAAAGGCATTTGGAAAATTTTGCATTAATGGCAATTAGAAAATTCTAGAAGCAATTTCACGTGAATTTGAATGTTGCGTATTTTATATATTTGAAGTTATGGTCTATTTTTTTATGTATGAGTATTTGGATCAAAATTTTGGGCTAAACAATAAAGGCTGCGTTCGGCTGACCCAAAACCCAGCTTGATTCGCTTCTTTTTTCAGCCGGAACAGTATTTTTCTCTCACAAAATATCAGCCGCTACAGTGTTTTTTAGCCGCTACAGTGAAATTTTTGGGTCAGCTGAACGCAGCTAAAGAAGCTAGACAATGAAATAGTTTTTGTAAACTATGATATGTGCAAATCAGGGGGAGAACATCCCTGAGTTTATAGGAATATTGAACATTCTTAAATGCACTTTATATATTATATTCTAGCTTGCTGCATTTAATGAATATTAACCCCCATATTTAAATATGTGCGTGAATATTTCCCATAAAATTTCATCATAGCATACATGAATGGGCATCCACTTGTAGTTGGAGATACATGAATTTTAACTATTTTAAGCCCATGATAGGGAATATCTTTTGAAGTATGCTATTAAAGATCTAATATTGGCATCAGGGAGAGAGAAAGTCTATTTTGAATGCCAAATATTATTTTTATAGAAGAAAAATGATCTTAAGAGAAAAATATTCCTCGAAACTTGAAGCGGGAATATTATCACACACTAAATCAAACGATAGTTTGATTAATGCTCTTGTGAAGCATGATGCGGAGCATATGCAAGATATTTTAGAAAAAATGAGAGGAGTAACTTAAAGTTATAAACCAAAAGTTGTGTTTACTAGTAGTAAACTAAATGTTGTATGCTATCAAGCTAAAATCCATGGGGACGTCTGTGGGTTCTAGTTTAGTGTGTACTTGTTTGAATAGAAATAAAATAAAACTCCTCCATTCTTATGAAGGAAACACCTCATGAAGAAGGTTAAGCACCTCATGAAGAGGATCATCATGAAGTTGAAATCCAACACACTAAACGCGCGCATCATTAGTGTTGGGATGCAGAACAATAAATCATCTCTTGTTTAGGAAATAACAAAGAGACAGAATAATCTCACATTGTGAGAATATTGGGAGAAAATAATAGTTGTCGACAACACTACCTCTACAATTGTAAATGTTTCTCTTATGAGAACCCAGATCCAAAAAATAAAGTCTATGGCAAAGTCGCCTGTAGCGATTATATCGGGTCGATGAAGAAAGCAATTGAGGTTGAATCTTCTACTAAGAAGAAATAAATGCTCTGCTATATCTCTGGCAAATGAAATGATTAAATATAAAATATGCAGTTAATAAGTGGATTATGAAAATCCATATAATTCTCGAAGAATAGAAAATCGCAACATATGGAAATTGAATCTCATACTAAGTATTAAGAAAAAGTCTAAGGTAGAATATATTCCTGATTGAATATTGAAGTCTCAAGAAGAGCATGTCCTGAAAGGAAAAGAGTCATTGAATGATTTTGTAGTGAATGACACTATTTCATTATGTATGTCACATAATAATCTTTCATGTAGTAGAGACTGTCGGTGCAAAATATGGCCAACAAGTAAATATTTATAGTTTTTGTAACAGAATCGACCAATTATACGAAATTAAGTAAGAAAATCATCCGCCAGAGCAGATGATTTAGCAAACTTAAGCCCGTATAACCCGGTAGTCCGTGAAATCACGAAGGATTTCAAATCAACTTACATCTCAGCCAAGATCGTAATAAGTTTAGCGGTCACCATCACATATTACATAAAAGTTCGCATCTCAGATACATCAGAGTTTAAAACATAGTTATTACAAAACAAGTTCGAATAAAAGTAGCGGAAGCCATTTGTTTAAAACCACACACACTCACACGGAGTTCAAATACAGTGCCAGCTGATGATCATCTCCAACAAAAGCATTAGACGAGACGTGCGGAATGACCATGCCCATGGTCCTAAGCATCACCATCGCAGGATAAAGGCGGTTGATCGAAGAGCGTAATACATCATACGCACATATCCGCAACAAGTGGAAATAAAACCACGAGTACGAGAAGGTACTCAACTAGACTTACCCGACATAACCGAAAATAAAGTGACACCAAGGATTATGAAGGGCTTTATAGTAGGGTGGTGACTCATTTGCAAAAAGGCATTTTAGCATTTCAAGAACCTTTTCAAAGCATTATTGTCAAGTTAATTATTATTAACTGCATCGACTACATTTGCACCTATACTAGGGCAAGCATGTGATTAATCAAATAATGATAACCAATGATCATTAACAACTTCCATAATGTCATATTCATTATAACTGTCCAAGTGTTCCATCAACATTACTACGATGAAGTCACTCAAGTCAAGTGCTCACTATCCAGGAGCGATAGCGATTCGAATCGATTCCTAACCAGCTGGTGATTTATTCCTTACACAAACCTCACTCACCCGCTAAAGTGAGGTATTGATCACCGAGTCAACTATCCAGGAGTCTCGAGTTTGCCAGGAACCATATGTACCCGGGGGCCGACCGACTACACTTTGGTCTTATCATCTCACCCCCGTGTCCTACCACACCTGCTCCGGCACAGTGCGCTGCGGGCAATCTACTCGGCACGAATAATCTCCCAGCTTCGCGGTCGAAAGGTACTTTATCCGACCAGCTAAATGTAAGGCATGCATTCAACATGACTCGAGGCCCAACAACTGTCGGTCCTTAATCGACACAGACGAAAAGCACTACAGTTCAAAACTCTGTAAGTCTCCGTCCGGTCTCAACTTCATTTAACACTTAGTTATACCATGACTACATAGTTATCCAAGCAGATCCAGGTAACCACCTATAGCTCATAGGTTACAGGAAATCACCCGACTTCTACCGGTCTAAGCCAGCTAAGCATTGACTCGACTACGAATACCAGGGTAACAAGGATATGGTATAACAAAGGTTGACAAGGTATAATGCAGCAACGGTTGCAAACAACTCCTGAACGTAAGGCATCAATTAAAGTAAAGCAGTTAA